CTAAGCTTCTTTCCGATCTCCAAGCGCGTATTCCGAGCTCTGGACTCAGCCATCCCGCCCCCTCGCCTCGGGCAAACTAAGCTTAGTCCCGAGCAAACTAAGCTTCTTTCCGATCTCCAAGCGCGTATTCCGAGCTCTGGACTCAGCCATCCCGCCCCCTCGCCTCGGGCAAACTAAGCTTAGTCCCGAGCAAACTAAGCTTCTTTCCGATCTCCAAGCGCGTATTCCGAGCTCTGGACTCAGCCATCCCGCCCCCTCGCCTCGGGCAAACTAAGCTTAGTCCCGAGCAAACTAAGCTTCTTTCCGATCTCCAAGCGCGTATTCCGAGCTCTGGACTCAGCCATCCCGCCCCCTCGCCTCGGGCAAACTAAGCTTAGTCCCGAGCAAACTAAGCTTCTTTCCGATCTCCAAGCGCGTATTCCGAGCTCTGGACTCAGCCATCCCGCCCCCTCGCCTCGGGCAAACTAAGCTTAGTCCCGAGCAAACTAAGCTTCTTTCCGATCTCCAAGCGCGTATTCCGAGCGCTGGACTCAGCCATCCCGCCCCCTCCCCCCAAAAGACCAGGAGTAACAGGCTAGGTTCCCGGGGCACAGCCGATCCAGAGAAATAGGAGGCCTCAAAAGTGGTACTTCACCAAAAAGGTATTCCAGAGAAACTGGGAACACTGGCCGGAGAGGCTGTGGCTGGGCTGCTGCCTGGGAGAAGACTGGGCCCCACTCAGCTTCAAGGAGTCCTTAGAGGTGGCTCCAAATGAGCAAAAGACAAATGCATGAGCCCTAGGCCCCCCACTCCACCCCCCACACCCCAACTGGTCATCAGCAAAACAGAAGCTGGAGTTGATTTACTGGTAGTGCCCGCTGAACACTGTTGGATGATCAAGGGAAAACGTCACACCCTGAAGAAGTTCCCCATGTGGTCCAGCCGGGCCACACCTCCCAAGTCAGCAGGTGAGTGCCCCCCCCACCCCCCCACCCCTCAGCCAGAGCTGGCAGGAGGCCCAGGGCGCGTCTGGCTCCCGGGCCTCAGGAAGTGTCCGGCTCTTCTCTTTTGCAGGAAGGGGAAGGGGGGACGGCCTTCTGTTCCCTTTGGCCGATGACAGAGCCAAGCAACCCAATTCAGTTCCCCCTCCCCTTGGCCGCTCCGCACCCAATCCCGCCCGGAAACCAACTTTAGATGTTTTCAATCAGCTGTGCAAGCAGGAAACCAACTTTAGGATTTTTTCAATCAGCGGTGCCCGCAGGATAAAGGGGTGCGGGTTCCATTCGCCTCCGTCCCTCTGGGGCCATGCGGTCGCCTGCGAGGCGGGCCTGAGAAAGGCAGGAGCGCGGGCCTTCTACCCCCACATGCAGAACGAATGCAAGAGGCAAGAAACCCAAGCACTGACCTCCTCTGAGGTCCACGTCCGAGGCTGCAGACACGGGGGAGGAAGGAAGCAGAGAGTCACTCCTCAGAGTCAGGCGGGACTTGTCCCGAGCAAACTAAGCTTCTTTCCGATCTCCGAGCGCGTATTCCGAGCGCTGGACTCAGCCATCCCGCCCCCCCCCCCCCAAAGACCAGGAGTAACAGGCTAGGTTCCCGGGGCACAGCCGATCCGGAACCCCTACTGTACCAGCTCTCTCCTATCAGACCTTCCCGGGGG